GTAAAAAGACTTTTGTCACGCCACACTGTAAAACAGTGGCAGGTCATCACTCGCCATTGTACAGAATGACTAATAGTTATAATAATATTCGTGATTTGTTCGACATCTCTCACGGTTCTAAGGCCTCAGCAAGGGCTAACATTCGATTAGCCATTAATTAACTAGTATTTATCACTTTAGAGTTTCTTTTCATTTCTTTATTTGTATCTGTTATCTTGTCCACTTGTTGCATGCTATGTTCACTGTTATTAGAATGAACGTTTGTTTGTTACTTTTTTATGTTACCTGTAACAATACCATGTAAACGTTACATTCCATTTGTGAACCAAATAAAAAAAAGTCTTGCGAGTATTTTGAGTCGGCACTTGGTCGGCGTACTTGTAAGAAAATACCTGGTATAAAAACTTTCATCCTCAGAAGTTGTACCCACTACATAACCAGATGGTGTGGATGTATGGACGTTTCGTTCAACGAAATTTGGCGGCTGGGATTAATCCGAACAATTCCTCAGAGCACTCTCCATGGTATACGTGAAAGAAAATGCAAAGAGATGCAACATCTCTTCGAAGTGCCAGTGAATCGAGCCGATCGGAAAGCACTCGGTCGTCGACGATTCGAGCCGCTCTGCGCTGGATGCGGTCAAGTGGAAGGAGCTGATACTGGGGAGCCCCAGCCCAGAGATGGGAACAGTATTCCATGTGCGGCCGAACCTGCGCCTTGTAAAGTTGCAGGCGGTGTGCCGGCATGAAATACTGTCCCGCTCTACTGAGCACGCCAAGCTTTTTAGAGGCCAATTTGGCCTTCTCTTCCAAGTAACCACGAAACTGCACGTCACTCGATATGTCGACGCCAAGGATTCCGATACTGACTGAGGCAACAGGGGGGAGTGCCTTGAAACTGAGGAGATACGACAAAGGGGTTCTTTTTAGCGGTTAACGCGCAAACTTGTGTCTTCTGGGGGTTAAACTGGACTAGATTTAGTCGCCCCCAATCCGAGACTCTGTTCAGCAAAGACTCGACTTCAGACACAAGTTTGTCCCGGCACTCGGAGACGTTTTCCCGAGAAATATTGGCTCGGCCGGTGTACAGAGCATCACCAGTGCTGTCATCTGCATAGCAACGAATGTTACGGGTTTGCAACATATCATTGATATGCAGAAGAAACAGCGTTGGCGATAGCACGCAGCCTTGTGAAACGCCAGCATTAATAGGCTTGCAATCGGAGCTTGCACAGTCTACAACGACCTTGATGCTCCGATCTGCAAGAAAGCTGGTGATCCAATCATACGATTTCTCGGGAAGCCCATAGGAAGGGAGCTTCGAAAGAAGCGCTTTGTGCCAAACCCGATCGAAGGCCTTCGCAATGTCCAAACTAACGGCCAATGCCTCCCTCTTGGACTCTACTGCTTCCGCCCATCTGTGAGTTAGGTAGATCAGAAGATCACCAGCTGACCGACCACGGCGAAAACCGTATTGGCGGTCACTAATCCTCAAGGTACCTCATGAGCTGGCAGTTTACAATGGACTCCATTGTTTTGGAGAACAAGGAGGTGATGGCGATAGGCCGGTAGTTGGACGGGTCTGAGCGGTCGCCTTTTTTAGGGATCGGGTGGACGTAAGCCGTCTTCCATGATTTTGGGACTACGCCTAGGAAGTAGGAGTACCGGAAAAGACGCGTTAAAACCGGTGCCAACTCTGGAGAACACGTCTTCAGCACAATTGGGGGGATTCCGTCAGGCCCACTCGACTTGTAAATGTCCAGGGAGAGGAGTGCTTTGCTAACCGAGCGCTGTGTGAACTGCACTTCCGTCATGGAGCACTCACACTGTGGGATGGTCGGCGGCGTATTCCCCCCGTCATCGAGAGTCGAGTTGGACGCAAAGAAAGAGCCTAGCAGATCGGCTTTCTCCTTTGCGGTATGGGCCAATGAGTCGTCCTCCCTGTGCAGAGATGGAAGAGATGTCTGACAGAAATTCCCCTAGACAGCCTTGGCGAGAGACCAGAATGCACGGGTTCCAGAAGGAAGGCGAACTAGTTTCTCGCCAATTCTGCCTATGTGCTCTGACTTTGCCTTGGCAATGACTCTTTTGAAGGACCTGGAGACGGAATTATACTTCTTTTTTAGAGCGCTGGTGTTTACATCCCGGGACGCTGATGCGTCAGGCCAGGCTTGGTAGCACTTCTGCTTATAGCATGATGCTATTTTACAGGAGCGACCAAACCATGGCTGAGATTTGCCTCCAATGGGCACCACAGAGGAAGGAATAAAAAGTTCCATACCGTGAAGTACCACATCAGCGACAGAATCCGCAACAACGTTGGGATCATCCGGCGAGAAGCAAACCCGCCCTCAAGGGTAGGATGCAAAGAAAGACCGCATCCCATCCCAATCGGCTGACCTATAGTGCCAAACACGGCGGCAGCCTGCAGAATGCAATTGCGATATCAGCGTGAGTGGCACCACACTCCGGACAAGACAATGGTCCGAGGAGCCTAAAGGGGCTTCGACGGAAATCTGATATCCGTCCGGATGAGAGGTCAGCAGAAGGTCCAACATGGAAGGTGCATGATCCTCCACATCTGGAATCCGCGTAGGCGAAGTAACCAGTTGTGTCAGACCATATGCCAAGGCAAAATCATGAACAGATCTCCCCGCATGATCGGTTAAACGTGAACCAAGCCATTCGGCGTGATGAGCGTTAAAGTCGCCGAGGATTACGATCTCTGCGGAGGGGATCTGCTGTAGCAACAGTACCGCTATGGGACCTATAGAGGCACCCGTAGACGCGGGTATGGTTGTCGCTGTCTACGCGTAGCTAAAGGATGGACAGGTCCGAACCTTCAAGTCTGCCGAGGCGTCGAGAACAGATGTCCTCTCTGACGTAAACGCAAACTCCAGCCCGAGGCACAAAGGAGTGTTCCAGTTTGTACCCCGGGTAGGAGATATGAGACATCAGCCGTAGAGGACACCTGCGACTCGGTCAGAAAGAGCAGAACCGCGTCTCGCCGTCTCGATATGGTAGTGGACAGCGTTTAGATTAGAGTGAAGTCCCCTGATATTGCAGAAATTCACGGACAGCGTGGCATGGGTCGCCTTGGTCTTGTTGCTGTGTTTGCCCCGAGCAGTTGTAGTCTTGAGCGGAATTTTGCCCCTCCCCCCAGAATACGCGGGGCAGCCTGAGCACCCACGCTCAGAAGTGGAGAAGCATGGTCGTGGATGCTCAGCGAGGGATTCTCCAGGGGTGTTGGTACCCTCCTGGGGGTAGTCTATCATCATTTAATTCCGCTACCATGTTGATGGGGGAGGGGGTTTGGGCTTCCGCCCACTTCACGCCGGTATTCTGTGAGGTCGTGGTACCACCCCGGTTTGAGCCGGCCCATACGTGCAACAGCAAAGCTGCCGCGTGGCTCTACCACTGTTATCTGTTATTGTTAACTCTACCACTGTTATTGTTTAATCTAATTCGTTTTTCGTTGTTCTTTTTAATCTAACGAATTAAATTTAAAAGCATTTTATTTTATCTATGTTTAATTAATTTATGGCCCGTGGAGCCGTAGTAGCTCAGAGTAGTAGCTCGCTGTAAATATAACAGAACGCGAGTAACCCGGGGTCCATCCTTGCCGGCACCAATGGCAAATTGTTAATTGCATTTTTAAGTGCTGATTTACCACGTGCTCGGCGGTGAAGGGGAACCAGCATGTCTGAGGAATTAGAAAAAAAATATTTCGAAGACATGTGAAGTTCGCCAACACGCATTGGGGCAGTGCGGCGGACACTTCCTTGCCCTAATGCCATCTCAGAAATGAGAGCCCTGTGCCCAGCAGTGGGACGTATACGTATATAGGCTGTAACTAACTCATTAATTTATGATTTTGCATTACTGTCACTTGATTATAAAAAATGATATTTTTATTATAAAATAATATTAGAATAGTAATACTGACAGATTTATTCAACTAGACTGATAAAAACAAACACCATAGAAATTCATAAATTACAAATATTTTTTAGAAAATTCACCGATATATCGATATTATTTTCGACATATTGAATTCAATATCAATATTTTCTTAAAATATCGATACTTTTTGGCACTTCCTGCATCCATATCGGATCAGTAACATGAAGTGGCAATGGGCCGGCCGTATATGAAACTCGAAGAACCGACAACCGATGGGTAAAAAAGTTCTTGAGTGGCAGCCTCGTACCAGTAGGTTAAATGTAGGGCGGCCCTATACATACAGGAATTAAAGGGATGCAAGAGACTCAGGACTATCTCTTTGCAACATTGCTTGGGGGAGACATGCACAGCAGTAAACTTGCGAAGTCCTGTATTGATAATGATGATTGAAATTTGATTCTCCAAAAATGCAATATTATTCTTACCATTTTTTATACGTGGTAGAGCCATGCTGCAGTTATATTAGAAGTATAGTTGTAGCACGAATGGGTCGGCTCGACCGGGGAACGACCACGCTCTCACACAATACCAGCGTGAAATAGTATCTTAATGCTGCTGTATTTCGTATGGTGAGTGTAGAGCACCGGAGACCCTTTTTACTGGAAACGCATTCCATCTTAGTCTTCACAGGTGACAACGCATCTGCATTTTTATTAGTAATCGAGGATAGATGTAGATGTCTATGGGCCGCAGCAACCACTTACCATCGGGTGGACTGTGTGCTCGTTTGTCACCCTATCCTATAAAAAAACGAAATAAAATTTTCTTGTTAAATAAAAACCGGTTTAATTTATAAATGCTTTATTTGATTAGAAAGGAAATCACAAACCACACTTCAAAGTATAAATAACAACTTTTAGTAACATCTTTGTTGAAAACTAATTTGCATGATTATTTTTAACTATAATTATTATTATATAAACTTTATATTTTTATTTTATACGTGAAACTCTCCTCCGTCCAATTTTTCGTCAGACAATGATGATAGAATACTCGCGGATGTACTTTGAGAAAGCCAAATAAGAGAGATAAATAAACCTTCTAATATTCCAATCCCAATTCCTCCCAATACATCCAAAATGTAATGTCTCTCAAGCAAAACTCTAGAAATTGATACAGCACAGGCCCATGCTAGCAATGGTGGAAAAAATATAAATGATACGGGACTCAAATATGTAAGCATAAAGACTACTAGAACGGCTCTGCTAGCATGGCCTGATGGGAAGGAATACTTGTCAGGACCTACAGCTAACATTTTGTTCATGGGAATAGGTCGTCGTCTTCTCACAAATGCTTTTACCACAGCTACAACAACAATATCCAAAATAAGAGCTGAAAAAATACAAACGGAATTAATAAGATTATAAAATACTAAATTAATCGGTTCAACTTGGTTCTACTATATAAATATGTACCAAAATGTTTTAAACTTTTCCCTTGTATTATTTTGCGGAAAAAATACAACTAGCAAGTGGTAAAATTAAAATCTTTGTACAACCGACTTCATTTAACTAAAATGAGAGCATCATCAATGTAGTTGAAGTCAATTAAATACTTATTATTATGGATAACTCAAAACCAGTTCCAGGTCAGATCTTGATCAAATTCATATGGGATCACATGAGAAGCATCAGCTTTCAAATAAATAAAGAATCATCAAAATCGGTTAACCTAGAAAGAAGTTTTGAGGTACACACGTAAAAAAACATACAGAGGAATTGAGTACCTCCTCCTTTTTAAGACGGTTAAAAAGTAGTTTAAATTTCACCTACATCAATATCATAATCGATGGTACCTACTAGTGCCGAAACAAATTAAAATATTTTCAATTCATTTATAAATGTTATTTTTAATAAAACTATTTATACGGACTTTATCGAGTTTAATTAACTTATTTTCAGTTCCCGACGCAGCACGCATAATCTGTCAAAAAATACACTGTACGAACCGACAATAAAAATACTATAGAAAGGTGTGAATTTCTCATTTACACCGCGAAGAGTCCCGTATAAAGTCGGTAAGGAGGATGTAGCCGTGTAGAGGCGATTAAGAATATCCACTACCCCATATCTTCTCGTGGGAGTCGTAAGAGGCGACTGAGGGAGACAGGCAGGAGATGGGCAGCAGCATCTTCCTGATAACTGCAATTAAATAAAAAACTGCGGTTGCCAACCCGCTCGCCAACACAATAGACACATAGGCCATATAGCTCGAAGAACCGACAATCGATGGGGAAAAAAGGTTCTCGAGTGGCCGGCCCGTACCGGTAGGCGAAGTGTAGGGTAACCACCCACTAGATGGAGTGACGACCTGGTATGACATGCAGAAGGTCGATGGATGCAGTTGGCTCAGGACCGTGCTTTGTGGCAATCCTTGGGGGAGGCCTATGTTCAGCAGTGGCATTGTGAAAGGCTGTAATGATGATGATGATGGAGGATGTAGAGGCTATACGTCAAGATAATTCGTCTTTGTTACGTCGTAGTTCAGTGCCTAAATCAAACTTTTCTAAAAACGAATGTAAAGCGATGAATAAAATTACTGGAGCTCACGATTCTCCGCGCGGATAAAGGAAATGCTACGGTTATAATGGACACGTCGGAGTATAATTTTAAAATACAAAAGCTTTTTATCGAACGAAAGTACATATAAAAAGGTGAAAACATACCCTACAACTAATAGGCTTAAAACAACTATTGATTTAATAAAGGAATACTCCGAAAAATTAAATCTCGACGTGAATTCGATAATACCATCATGTGCCAAACCACCGAGTTTGTATGGGTTACCGAAGATACACAAACCAAACGCTTGACTACGTCCCATAGTGAACCGGATTGATTCACCGACTAATAAGTTGGCTCAACACTTGGAAAAAATACTGTCACAGCTGAGAGGACATACACAAAGGATTTATACCGTTTTGTTAGTGTCTTGAAGACGCAGGTCTTCTATCTCTCGGACAATAAAACTAAGGTCAGTTTTGAAGTTCAGTCACTATTTACATGCTTACCTATTGAAGACTGCATCTCAATTGTAACCAAGAAGCTGGAAGAAAACAACATGCTTGAAGAATATGCAATATTACTCGAACACTGCCTCACATCTGACTATCTATTGTGGAAGGAGAAGTTTTACAAGCACGAAGACGGTGTCCCGATGGGCTCATCTGTATCTCCCATAGTTGCCGACATATTTATGGAAGACTTTGAGGAGAAAGCCATTAAGAAGGGCTCCTGTAATTCCAAGATTTTACAAGTGGTACGTAGACGACACTTTCACAATTTTACCATCTGACAAAATAACTGCATTTTTTGACCTAAAATACAATTCACAATGGAGTTAGTAGAGGCAAATAATTCTTGAGCCTTTCATGATTTTTTAGTCATCCGAAATCTTGATAACACTATTGGCAGCCCTCTGTCACTGTTGCTACCTGCGTGAAATAATTACCCACAGTCGCGAGGCACCAAGGCAGTGTTGCCGTTTTAGCGCATTTGGCGCTAGATCTAGTGCTATTCTATGGTCTATAGCACTTTTTTTTCACAATATCTAAGCGCTAAAAGTTATCTATAATCTAAGAATCTCTTTATTGACATCCCTTAGGAACCACGGAAAGTCCTCCGTGGCGTATGAAGGGGAAAAGATGCAAAGTAATATGGACGCTCGCGCGTAGAGATAAAGTTTTATCTAGCTTGCGTACGCGATTTCTAGTTAATAATAATTATGCAGGCTATTAAACGTCGGCAAGCAGTTAACATCAAAAGAGTGCAACTTCTGTACATAGTACTATTATTTATTCTGTGCTATTGGTCACACTGTGTAATAAGAAAAAGACCCATACCTACTGATATTTCAATGGTGAATCTCACAATCATCGATCACAGTTAGCTACGGTGAGAAAATCTTTGTTTCCGTGAGCACAAGAGATCTGTGACAGAAAACATCTGCACGTCTGAAGCTCAGCACGTCAAGCTAGTATTGCAAGGCAACAAGCTTCGGGTCTCGCGCCTTTGTTACAGTGACCGAGTGAAGCCAGTCAGTCGAGCGTTTGCCTGCTACTATATGTCAGAGGAATCACAAACAAGATTTACTACATCTTGAAGCGAGCTTCTATTAAAATATACTATAAGCCGCCGAAGAAGATTAATCAACTTTTACCATCTATCAAGTATATTATCCTTCTACAAGACGCAGGAGTGTACAAGCTAGATTGTGAATGTGGTCTCTCTTACATAGGATAAACAAAAATGTATATAAAAACCCGCGTGAAAGAACATAGAACCGGCGCTCCGGGAAGTCTGCAGTTTGTGAACAAATTCAAGATCGTCCCCCCCCCTCCCCATCATTACATCATATTTAATATACCACGAATTCTCGCAAAAGAACACCAATTCCTAGCAAGGATGATACGTAAGGTAATTGAAATTAAAAAAAATCCTAATTTCAATACAGAAGTTGGATGGGTGCTGCCATCTACTTGGGATCCTATAATTAACAGAATTAAATCCAAACCCAAACAAACCACTGCAAGACTTCAAGATACTTTAAGCTTGTTCTACGTAGATTGGACCAAAAAACTGAATGTTACGAGCCTAACTATGACATTGGGACGTCAAATATGTGTCTCCTCGTGACCATGGATGCTGTAAAGTACGCGAAACGTCGGAAATTAAAAATAAGTAAATTGAACGCGATAAAACCCGTATATATCATAGACTTATTATACTACGTACGAAATACATGTTCCTTACTAAATTTGTCTAAACTAACATCTTTCCTTTTTTTTCTTAAAAAACGTTACCCCTACATTAAGATTTTCTCCGCATCGTGGGGGCAGTTTACAAACATACATTGCACAAGGACAAACATCCAGACCCGGAACAATTATTTGTAGGACATACAAATACTTGTTCCGTGCGGGATCCAACCCGCGACCCCCAGCACAGCCACTCATTGCTAAGCCACTGCGCCACGGAGTCGTCTATACATCTAATAACACTTATTATGTTATTAGACTGCCGAAGGTCACCCGCACCACATATTGCCATGTAAGTATCCCCATTTTATTTTTAGCTGGGTTATTTTTAATTTATTCCCTGAAAAGGGTTACATAAACAGAATCATATCACGAAATATAAAAGAACCCTTGCGTATCAGACAGGTTTTAATACAATGAGGTGACAAGCAATGCGGCGTTGTTAGTTTTTCTTCAAACTGCAATTTTCAGTCATCATTCATAATTAGTCTATCTGAAGTCCATTGCTGGACTTAAACCTCCCCTAAAGATTGTCTCATAGGTAGGTTATTAGCCATAGTAGGCAACTATAGTTGGCAACTGCAGTTTTTATTATTTATGAGTTGTTATCAGACAGATGCTGCAGCCCTTTGCGTTTTATTTTCCAAATCTACTGGATAATATGGAGGTAACGGAATCTCTTACGCCATCACTACACGGCGACATTTTCAGTAAGCATATTGATTAATAAAATTATTTAGTTAGGTAAACAGTTTGCCAATAACATCAGCACTAAAACAATTGATATTTGTAAAATTTAAATATATCTATCTTCTCAAATTGTATTAATTTTCGCAAGAATATGCAAAATTGTTACAAATAATATATTGTCTTGATACATACCTATTAACATGTTAACTTGAAGTTGATAAAATTCTTTGTTACTGAACAACCATATGAAACTAAGCCAACCAGCCAGCCATACAATGCCATGGCAGGATACCTGTAAAAAATAAAATGAAGAAAAATTAAAAAAAAAGTACAGCAAGTACAAAATGCCAGTGAACTTTTATAAGATATTAGGTTTTTTTTTTGTAATTTGTCTCTGTCATTGTACATCCATGTTACCATGTGATGTTATCATTCAATAAGTAACTTTTACGTTACATTTTGCCACCAAATTAGTGTTGAAAAAGTCAGACTGCGAAAGAGTCAGATAAATATGTGAAAGAAATTATTATATGCGCTATAAGAGAAAGGCAGCAATTCAGAGACGGCAAGTTGAATAGTGGGGAGATAAAAAGGGCGAGAAGAAAAAAAATTATATTTTTGAGAAAAGAAATTAATATTTGAGGTTGTATCCACAGAAAATCACTTAAAACAGAAATTAAGGAAGTATGATAGGAAGTAACTAAAGGAGGTGAAAACATCAGAAAAGGTGTAAAGTAACATGTATATTATTTTTTTTGCAGAATTTTAAAATGTGTTTTCACAATTAAAATACATTTAAAACATCAAAGTTGATAAGAATTACTTAATCACTAATAACCTTAGATGTTGATCTTAGCAGTAAGCCACCGAAAAGTCTACATCGCCTGAGGATGTCTCATGTAGAGGCAAAACATGTGTCGTATTATCGTCGATGGTGTGTTTTTCCTAGTGTACTGGGAGTAGTGATGCTGGCAGGGGCGTAGCTACCACCGTATCAATGATACGGGGCCCCCTGGCTACAGTGGCCCCCGTACGAACGTGTGTAAGCAAAAATTCGGAATATGTTATCCACAATCTCACTTAAAGCTGCCTCTACACGATCGGCCATGATCGACACTTGTTGATCGTCTGTAATCGGCAAGGTAATCGCCACCATCATCGTGCAAGCATCCACACGATCGTCCGTGATCATTTATTAAGCGGCAAGCATTCAAGATGGACGTGGAGTTTATAGCTGCAGCTACCATTAATTTAATTTCCGTATACAATCAATAGCACCGAAGAACCCACCCCCCCCTCCTCCCCCCCCCTCTTTTAATACCCCCCCCCCCCCCCCCCCTCCTTTTTCTTCCCCTTCCCCCCTCCACCAAAACACATTAATTATTATTCCATCCCTCTCCCCCCCCCCATACTACCCCCCCCCCCCCCCCCACTATTTTTTCTCCCTTTTCTTTTTTTTCTTTTTTTTTTTTTTTTTTCCTCCTTTTTTCCCCCCCCCCCCCCCCCCCTCCTTTTTCCCCTTTTTTTTTTTTAAACAAAAAAAAAAAAATAAAAAAAAATTTTTAATTATTTTTATTTTTTTTTTTTTTTTTTTTTCGCTTCCCCCTCCCACCCCCTTTTTTTTTTTTTTTTTTAAATATAAGAGACCAAAAACTAAAAATATTAATTTATTAAAATATAAAAAAAAAAAAAATTATATCAATGTAGTTGAACGAAAAGTTGCGAAAAAATAATGGAAGAAAAGAAGATGGTGGTGTTTCATCATTCATCATAATAGAACAAAGTAAATATACCTATAAAACTTAATAGGTGATCCTACTGCCCAGTTCTTACTATAAATATCTATTGCAGACATTCAATGGATAATCAGCTCTCTGAGCTATTGGCGCAACCTTCAGGGGAATTTGAAAACTTTCTTCGCATGTCGCTAAGCGATTTCAATAATTTAGTTGAAAAAATATCCCCATTAGTTGCAAAACAAGACACTACTTGGAGGGATTCTATACCAGTTAAAATCCGTCTTGCTATTACTTTATTTTTTCGGTTCTGATATAGTTCTATGAACTTGAATGTCTCTTCATTTGACCACCTAATAGTCGTTGTTTAGCACTTGCACTCACTTTTATTTAAAAACTTAAAAACGACGCGACGTACCCACTGCTTCTCTCCTCCAGTGAATGAACGATCGGCGATCGTGTGGGCAAGCGCACGCAATTACAAGCACCGATCGACAAGATCACGACGACGATTAACGACGATTGAGGACGATGATGGGCAACTACAGGCGATTAGCCCCTCTACACGATCGTGCTCGCGTGTAATCGCCCATCATGGCCGATCGTGAAGAGGAGCTATAAACACTTAGGCCGTATTTCCCCAGAAAACAAAACCATATCATCAAAGAGTGCCCAACGTGCCTAAAGAAGAATTGTCAAAAATTGACCAATTTTCTGTAGTTTTTTGATACATCTCAATAACAGAAAATTATGATAATATACCTAAAGAAATAATTATCTTTATTGATAAACATATTTACTAGCCTCTAAACTAGGATATTATACCTCTATTTAAGAGTTTAAATAAATATTTACCTAAAAATAATAGTTCCCTAGACGGGGTACATAATCGGAATTCATATATATATATATATTATTTTTCTTCTGATTTTCTCAACAATTAATTACTTTAAAAACATGCTTAAAATCTGAAATAAAGAAAATTCATTACATTAAGGAGCACATAACATTATTGCTGATAAAATTCAATAGCCTAGCATCCAGTTTTCCCGAGGTAATTAATAACAGCATATTCTATACCCTTCCTACAACTACAACAGCTGAAAGAAGTTGTTTGAAATAAAAACTGATAAAAACTATTTAAGTACATAATAGTAAATTATGACTCAAGCCGCAAACATTTTTTTTGACGATTATGGACCTAATGTAGTGTCAGTAAGAGCAGCACAAAGTTGTTTCAAGTCTTTTCAGTCTGGGAACTCAGATATCAAAGATGCAGCTCGCTCTGGTCGCCTTCATATGATTAAAGTCTATGCCATTTTTGAAAAAGTGGAGCAAGATCGGCATATTAATAGTTATGACATAGCCGAAGAATTGCAGAAGGACCACAAAACAGTTTTGAGCCATTTGAAAAGTCACACAAATTTGATTTGAATTGTTTGGCTAGCTTAATTCCTAGGAGTATTAATAGTTATTATTAACTTATAATCAATATATAATTATTTTAATTCAATGCCAGCGGTTTTGGCCCTTTCATTTGGGCCCCCAACAAATTTTGATACAGGGCCCGTCTAAGGCACTCCACGCCACTGGGTGATGGGATTAGTGGTGGCGGGGATAGTGCATGCAATTGAGGGAGGGTGGGAGGTGCTCTTCAAACTAGGTAAGTCACATCATTTTATTTAATTGAGCAGATGTGGGCGAAGTAACTCTTACCAACTTCGGTTTTCTGCAAAGTAACACACGATTCTATTATTTATATTTAAAACATCATTTGTCTGTCAGCCCTAGCCTTAATTAAAAATTAATCTAAAATTATAAATGAGATGTTTCAAAATGCATAACATCTGGGCCAGATCTTTGTACATACATACATAAACTCTCACATCTGAACCTAGAGAGGCAGGCACTAGTCACATTTGGCATAATACTAACATCTCACTTGATTCTTTCACATCTATGTAGCTACCTATACATGCCCTTTGGTTAAGGGTGTGTATGTGTTAGAGCCATGCTACAGCTATATTGTAATTGTTGAACACATAAAGGTTGGTTTGTTTAACTACTATCTTTTATTCAAAGTTAAAGTTACCTCCAAAAATTTTGCATGATTCCGTAGTGATCTTAGGGCTGTAGTCCTTAATGCTACTTCTACAAATTTTTTTGTGATTTGTATATCATAGCGTAGTATCTTCTGCAGCATTGGTGGCACTTGCCTCTTATCCTCAGTTACACCTGTCTAAAAGAGCACTATTATTCAACACAATAGTTATAGTTACAATCTCATTGTTACATTAGAAGTAGTAACACTTTTTATGAGCTATTAGTAATAAAACAGGACAAAATATTTAAAAACAATAGGATCATTATATTTAAAATGCAGTATTTTCCTGCAAAATATTTTTACAAGCATTTTGTTTTAGTATATTTATAAAATTATCAAAAACTTAAGAGTATTTTCAGTCACAGCAGTCAGTGCCAACAGAGAAGAATCATCTGCATAGGACAAGATTATTAGGGGTGAGTGTACATACAAGCACAGGTGAACTCTCATAGTCCGATGGGATCACAGGTGACTGGGCTGCTACCAAGAATTTGTTATAGGAATGAAAAACTAAAACTGTATTTCGCTCAGGATTCAAACCTGGAATCACACGATCAGCGCTTACAATCACCAGACCAACAAGGTAGTCAGTTCAAGTGCTATAATGAAACTTTAGTGGTTTGCTAACAAATAGCAATGGTTAGCACTTCGATATGATAATAAACATAAATATGACAAAATATTTTTATCCAGATTTAAATCCAAGCCAATTTATATCTTTAGCTTAAATTTTGAATATGCGTAAGGTCAAATGAAAAATCCATAGAATGAGCTCATCCATACTCATGCTATTCTTAGATGTATGTTCAAATAGAGCATAAGTATATAATTATGTACATCCTTACCATATCCATAACGGGTAGATAACAAACAATGATGTGACTAAATGGCTTACAATTGTATCAAAAATAGCTTAGTGATAAGGAGACAATACCTAAGTAAAATCTCATGCAATTTACAAGAAGCACATAATGACAAATATGCAAATGATAAGAACTATAAAAACAAAATAATTAAAAAGGTTTAAAATATTAATGGCTATTTCGCTTAACTTTTGTTGTGATTAATCACTGATAATGATATTTTATCAGAAAACCGATTGCTAATTATTTCATATAAAAGATCATAGATTACTGTATATCACAGAGTACCTTTGTATAAACTGAAATAGAGACCAATCTTCGACCTATAAAATGGCAATGCATAACTAGCGCCTCTCGTATCCATAGTTAGCAACTTTATTGTAATATCTCTAAATATAAGCTTATATATACATATGCCGTACATATATAGCACCTACGTATATATATATATACTTGTTCTCATCACAGATATTAATAATTAAAATCAAAATAAATAAAACTAACATTATATTTACAGGATTTATTAAAAAACAGCAAACAAATACAATAATAGTTATGACAATAATAAATATCAGTACATTTATTCAACTTAAAAATATAGAAATTAATGAACAGCCTGAAACAAAGATAAGAACTAAATTTAATTATGTTCAGCAGTGGATTTGTGATGTGCTGTAATGATGATAGTATTATGATTATAAGTATATATAGCAGACTTGTTGAAAAATATCAGTATCTGTAGGTGTTGACAACTTTGCCAGGTTCAAAATATATTTCATGGGTTTTCTTCTCATAACTGCTGATTTATTTGATGATGTAGCTAAAAGAAAATAATAGGATTTACTTTGAAATTATTTATATCATTATTATACCAGTATCTGTGATGACATACAAAAGTATATTTTCACTGCATAATAATATTATAAAATAATTTATTTTTAAAAAGTATGAAAGAGGGTTGATAACACATTGCAAGCTTAATATTTATGAAAACTAGACCTAATGGTTGATCATCAAAGCGTCATCCTTCTGTCAGCCGTAATCATTACATGCATTATCCTTTTAAGTCCGATAGTGCATATAAATAGTATGTAATAATATTCTAGTTAGATTAATGAATTACTAATAGTTAGATAATTACTTAATTAGGCATATTTTATAAAGAAACTATATACATAATTCATACTATATTATGTTCCTAATTCATTCCATAATATGTTTACTTATTCTATAATCGATAAAGACAAACCTGGTATATTCAAAGTAGGCACAGCAATGTTACTGATTCTGTTATTTCTGCATTGAAACTTTTCTTCAAAATGTGAGTGACACATGGCGATACTTGAAGTTGAATATGTGCATATTTTCGAGGTCTAGTAAATAACCGCCAATTGCGTAAAGCCATACCCTAAATCGTTCACTATCGTTTTCCATGTTTGGAAATCCGTGAAGAACATGATGCATGCATAAAATACTCAAGAGATACATATAAAAAACACTTATGCTTATGACAAATAATGCCCTTGATGCAAGTTGTTTAGACGAGATGATATACTGTCACTGTCCTGAAATCCGGGGACACAACTAAGCTTACATATTTATTTACAAAATGTCACAAAATACAAATAATTAAAAATGGTTGTACGGAAAGCGTAAATAAATCTGTGAAATAAATTCACGTCATGGCAGGATGATGTGCTGCCAGATTTAGTTTCAAAATCATACCAAAAACATCTAGTTATGGTTTTTTTTAAAGAATAGTTTTACGAAAGCACATGTAATCGGTATTTATTTATAAGCACACGTTAAAAACTTTCATCACAGATTTTTATTAACTTTAAACAAAAGAAAATATCTTAATTTCAGCTACACTTATTTTCTACTAATTGGAATATTTTTTTAAATATTTTGTAAAGCTACCTACAGGTAGTGGCGACATCTAGTATGTGATGAACGAATTATTCGCTTGAAATTGCGAACAGTGTCACCTATTATTGTTGGTTGGAATAATACGATTTTATAATACGACTAAAATAAAAAGTAGTCAATAGATATGGTTTTAAATAGTTTACTAAGTGCGTATTAATTTTGCATAATAGCATTTCATAGTTTTTTTCCAAGTTTTATGTTCTAACATTGTAGAGCCTGCTGTATATTGTAAAAGATGATAGAAAATAATTTTATTTGGTGTTGTAGATTGTAATCTATGTGTTGTAGGTATTATTTTAACTATTTTTGGCTTGGATGCTTATCCTTTAAGCCATGTCTTCATTTTATTAGGATCACAAACTAATAAGAGTACTATAGTATGTGCCAAATCGATTGAGAAAAACGGACAATGACCTCAAATATGAGCCGAGTGTCAAAAGGCGTAACTTACAAAATCTCAATTTAGATGTGATAACAATATTTAAATATTGATATTATTCACACTTATAGGTCAGCACATATGTTTTGTTTTTTTATTTCTTAAATAATATTGTCTGTGGTTCCTATAAACATCGTAAAATCTTACGGTACATCGCGAAAAATGTGTTATATTTTATATTTCAATTTATGGTAAGTAACGCAGCAATTCATTTAATAACATTTAATACACAAAATTGCACCACTTTAACGTATCATAATCCACTTCATACCATTCTTTAAATGATAAAACCGTCAATAGTCAAGTTCCCGCGAAAACTCCCGTATTGTACGTACTCTACAAATATGACCATGTATAGCCCGTTCACCGTAAGATGTACACTAAATGTGCTGTGATGTTGGCACTGTTGCTTGTCAATTTGTTGTCAGTTTGTGATTATAACGCTCGTTTTTGTGTTATTATTTAAAATATTCCGAATTAATTATGCCGAAACCATTTAGAAGCAGTGCAAGAGAGGTTGTGTTGAAGGTGCGTGCCTTTTGTGAGAGAGAAAAGGCAAACCCAGCCCCGTTAATTCCACTCAATCAAGTGCGAACTCGCGTCGCCGCCATGATAGGTTAGTAAAATAGGGATGCCAGCTTCATGCAAAATGCCTTTAGTCATCATAAATAAACACTCACGCCTGTCACCCAGAGGGGTAGGCAGAGACTACGGACTTCCATTTGACACGATCCTGACATACCTCTTTCGCCTCCTTTACATCCATATATCTACGCATACATGCTCGTCGGTTAAGGGTACTTTTAACGTGGCCCATTTTCAAAATATCGCCAATTTGGTCGATAAACTTTTTTCTAGGGCGTCCCTTCCCGATTCTGCCGTTCACATCTGCCATATAAATTTGCTTTGTCACTCTTTCCTCATTCATTCTTTCTACGTGACCAAACCACCGAAGCATTCCTTTCTTAATCCTGGTCACAACATCATCTTGCATACCACATTTATCTCTTATCACGCAAATTCTCACCCTGTCATTCAGATTCAACCCTAACATACTCCTTAAAGACCGCATTTCTACAGCATTTATTCTACTTTCGTGCTTCTTCTGCCACACCCAGCTTTCACTACCATACATTAAAGTAGGGACTAACACAGCATTATGAATTACCATACATGCCTTTTTTATACATTCTGGTTCTTCACAATAGAGTGTAGTGTCCCATTCACTCTATTCCCTGCATTTACTCGTCGTTCTATATCCTTATCATATCTACCATCCCTGCTAAATACACATCCCAAATACACAAACTCATCCACTTGCTCAATTAACTCTCCTTCTATTCTTATTTCACATACCGTTTTGCTATCCTCTCTTTCGAAAACCATCACTTTCGTCTTACTTGCGTTCACTTTCATTCCCCTTTCTTTTAATGCCCAGTTCATTAATGTAACCATCATTTGCAACTCAGCCGCCGACGACGCAAATATGACTTAATCATCGGCATATAAAAGGCATTTGACGGTTAACTCGCCCATTCTTAACCCACATTTTTCATCTTTCAAAGTTTGCAAACACCTGCCCATAAATAGGTTGAACAGCCAAGGGGAAGCCACACAGCCCTGTCTGACACCTTTTCGGATGCCAAACCAGTCGAGTAGACCCCATTGATCCTGACACAAGCACTAGAATTCCTATAAAGAGACCTCAATGCCTGTATCAAACCAGCGCTCAACCCATATGAGTTCAGTGTTTGCCATAACACATTCCTGTCCACTCTGTCATAAGCCTTTTCCAAGTCCATGAACGCACAAAAAACTTTCTGGTTTTTAGCCAAAAACTTCTCCGCACTCATGCGCATGGAAAAGACTTGATCTGTACACCTCATACCCTTTCGAAAACCCGCTTGCACATCCCAAATTTTTCCATCAGTTTCTTTCATATCTCTTTCAATTAACTCCTTAGCATACAGTTTACCCACAATACTAAGCAAGCTGATACCACGGTAGTTTTTGCAGTCCTGCTGTGACCCTTTTCCTTTATACATTGGTACTATAACTGCTTTACACCAGTCATGCGGTACCCATTTTAATTCCCAACACAAATTAAACAAGGTGTACAGCAGACCTGCCACCACTCCCTCTCCAGCCCTTAGCATCTCGGGTGATACTCTATCATATCCAGCTGCCTTACCTGCTTTCATGCTTTTCATTGCTTTTATTATTTCATCTACACTTATCTCCATACCCCTTTCCACTTCTTTCGGAATTTCTTTTTCATTTAATTCAGACGACTCTTCACCCATAAACACGCTTTCAAAGTATTCCTTCCATCTGTTTAAATTCGAAACTTCATCATTCAGAATACATCCATTCTCGTCTCTTATAGCATAAATTATAGGCTGTTTTGTATTTTCCCTGGCAGTTCTTACGAGTTTCCAGAACATTTTTATATTAGCCTGGAAATTATCAGATATCCTTATATCATTCTTATCCGTTCTTTCTTTGTTTTTCCTTTCAACTACTTCTTTTACTCTCTTATTTAGACGTCTAAATTCTGCCTTTTTTCTTTCAATCTCATCATTCATACCACCAGAATTACCAGCTTTAGTTGCTAGTAAATCTAACCATGCTTTCTTCTTTGATTCAACTTCCACCCGTACCTCATCATCCCATCACAACGTATTCCTTTTCCTTTCATTTGTTCTCTTACTTACACCACATACTTCGGTGGCTGCATTCACCAAACCTTTTTTTGATATTATCCCACACAGTATTTAAGTCTAAATCATTCATACACAACTCATTCAAACACCTAATATTTTCTCTGAGTCTGCATTTATACTTCTCTTTCACATCTTCATCTTCTAACTTCTCTATTCTTATACGCAGTAACGCAGTGGTAGACACAGATGTCCGATGCCGCCAACGCTTGAAAAGACCATTAATTCGACATAAGACCAATTAATGATCCGTTCCTACGTTGGACCCCCGATAAACCCTTGTATCTACGACTGCGCTCCTCATTCTTTCATCCACAATTACGAAATCTATCATGCTTCTATCATCACCTCTTTCCCATGTATACATATGAATCTTCTTATGACGAAAAAAGTATACTTCACAAAGAGATTCTTTTCCACACATACGGTGAGGAGTTCTTCACCATTCTCATTTATACTTTCATCACCAAACGTTCCCAATATCCTTTCATAACCAGACCTCTTCACCCCAACCCTTCCATTAAAGTCTCCTAACATAATAATATTTTCATTTTCCTTACATTTTGTCAACACCATCCTTACCATGTCCCAAAACTGCTCTCGGATGTAAGTGGGCTTAGACATGTCTGGGGCGTACACCCCTAGCAAGAACAGCTTCTTTAAGCCCACTTTCATTCGTATCCATAGCAGCCTCGGGCTTACACATTCATACTCTTTCACACATTGACCCATTCTTTCTGAAAGGATGAAACCGACTCCCTGGCATGGCCGTTCTATCTCGTCTACACCAGACCAATACGCGGTATACGTGACATGTGCAGTGGCATCCTTTCCCTTTCGTTTCGTCTCATTCACACATAACACATCTATTCCTCTGTCATTCATCATTTCGCATACCTCATCCATCTTATTATTCATTGCTCCACATACATTCAGCGTAGCCAGACGGGCTTCCGCAATCCACTTTTCGCCCCTCCGGGAGACAGAACGTGACGGGTGGCGAACCTCGTCACCGGTTTTTCTCCCGGAGATTCTTCGCACCCCTGCCCCATTAAAGGGGCGCCGAAACTCGGGGCCATTTCTTTTATCTCCTGACTCATGGTGCGAACAAGGGGTGGTGGTAGATTTTACGCCACTACCACACGGCGGGAAGCCGAGTCTATTTTTCGGCTTGGTCGCTCATTTAGCACCACCCGGGGGACACGTGTAGGGTGGGCCTAAGGTTTGGTGGTCGAAGCCTACGCACGCGAGCGACTCATCCCCCTTTAGTATGGGTAATAATAAGAAATTACTAACATTACGAATTAAAATAATAAAGTACGTATCTCAGTTAATTAAATTTATTTTTTTTATGATAATGTCTGTATTTGTATTTTATAAATATTTAATTTTATAAAATGATACAAATTTGGTGTCTATTTCAGGCATGTCGGAGAAAACCATGAGTAGAATATCTAAAGAAGGTGAAGCTGCTGCCTCTACATCTCAAAAACTCAAGTCTCCTGGAAAACACCGTCAAAGACGTAAAACGGTGGATCTTGATGATTTCGATTTATGCGCAATAAGAAACAAAATCCATGAAATGTATACTGTAAGAAAAGTTGTTCCTACTTTAAATAAATTACTTGTAGAATTAAAGAATGACATAAACTTTGGTGGAGGTCGAACGACTTTGTGGAAAATTTTAAAACAAATTGGATTTCAGTATAAAAAGTGTGGTTCGAAACGGAAAATTTTAATGGAAAGGCACGACATAGTTGCATGGAGACGCAAGTATATCGTTACTATGAGGCAAAATCGAGCAGATGGTCGGCCAATAGTTTTCTTAGATGAAACATACATTCACGCATCGTATGCAGTGAAAAAATGTTGGCAAAAAGATGGTAGGAGTACGAGGACGGAGTACTAATAAGTGATTCTGTTGGAACGCGGTAGATAATTATTAATGCAGGTGGAGAAATAGGGTTTATTTCTAATGCTCAATTGACAGAGTAAATCAGGGGACTACCATGACGACATGAATAGAACCAATTTTATAAAATGGCTTTCAGAGAAACTTATACCCAATTTGCCTCCGAACTCCTTAGTCGTGATGGATAACGCTCCCTATCATACCGTACAAGTAAATAAAGCACCTACTATGAGTTCCTCAAAACTTCAAATACAAAATTGGATAACAAATAAGGGATTATCTTATATACCAACAATGCTGAAAGCAGAACTTTATGAAATTATAAAAGAGCACAAAGAAGCGCCGATTTATGAGGCTGACCAATTATTGCTTTCTCATGGCCATAAAGTGGTTAGGTCGCCTCCTTACCACTGCGATTTAAATGCGATTATGTGGAGTATTTTAAAGAGACGAGTAGCCAGCAATAATGTCGGCCAAGAAGCTGGGAATATCGTGAAGTTAACTGAAGAAAATTTTTCATCTGTAACCCCTCAGGATTGGCAAAAGCAGTGTGAACACGTAAAAAATTTAGAAGACAAGTTTTATGTACTTGATGGCTGTATGGATGATATTACTGATAAATTCATAATTGAATTAGGAAATGACAGCAGCACAGATTCGGATACGACAGATGATGATGACGACGTTTATGAAAGTGACAGTGATACGAGTATGTCTGGAATTGTTCCTTTCGACCACAATTATTGTCGGAAAAAATAAATCAATAAATAACTTAAAAATTAAATTGTGTTATCATTCACAACCTTACTAGTCTTATAACTAACTGTATATTATTTAAATAAGCAAGTAAAACATATTAATCAGGGGTTTTCAAGTTTAGATAATTTTGCCAGCAACCACCAAGTGGGGTAAATGCTCCATATATTGTTGGCAGCACCGTAGACAGTGCTGCCGTTTCCCAAGGCAGGGGACATCTTACGGTGAACGGGCTATACTTATTTTTTGTTTGTGGAGTATGATCCAGAAAATTAGTGATGAGCTGCTACGTCAACTCAACTCAAATAATTCGAGTTAACTCGGGTACATTATTCAATAGCTCGAGTACGAGATGGCGGTAATTGAACGAAACATGGGAGCAAGCGAGGGCAGAATTCGTTCATCGTGCATATATATTATACACCTAATAGATACCAATACATTTATTACGAATAATTTGAGATAGTTTAATTATTAATAACATATTAAATAGAAATACCTGCGTCATAAACATAGAGTAATATTATTTTATGAAGATACGCAAACCAAAAATACGTATAGTAGTATAAATAAGTTCTTATTTCAATCCTACCTATTAACTTTAACATTTATAATATAATATATAATAGGATATTTGTCCTAATACAATGCGCTATCATCGTAATTTCGATACCGGAAAATTCAAATGTCGTAAAGGACATTTTGCCGAAAATGAGTTTTATATATATTTGGAATCAGCGTCGCGAGCTCTATCGATTGGTATATATAAAATAATCCTATCTTTAAAAAAACCCTTACGACCCGGATTTTTATACTATTTGGGATGTATCGTAAAAATAATTTTCAATAGGGAGCGTAAAGGCATGTTTTAATTATTTATGAGGTTGTGATCTCATTTTATGATAATGTTACGTGTTTGAGGTTCGTGACAATAAAAATTGCCGATAGAATTACCTAAATTAACACTTTAATTCACTTTACACTAATTAAAGTTAAAAACACTAACAATTAATCACACTGATTCACTTTATTCCGCTCCGAAACTTCGCTTGTCTCGCCAACTTCAATACTTCCCCGATCGCGTATTGCAGCGCCTTTATATAGGGCTCTTCCACGAAAACATCCAGAATATTTCAGAATATTCGAGTAAGTACGCACGCCAACCGACCAAGCGCAGAAAGATCGAGTGTAGAGCTTCTAGAAAGTGTAGTTCTTCAATTTGATACTAGATGGCGCTGTCGGTTAAAAAATAAGTCATGTCATTTTCTGGAAAGCTCTCTCCTCGCTCTGTTACCCGACACTAGATGGCGCTAGTGCCATGAGATGAGATGTCAACTTAGCCACGCAACAATAATCTAAACACTTACGACCTAATCCATGCTTTGCTTTATCTTACATAATTAGGGGTAAAGGTCGTTTGTTTTTTAATGTCCTTTACGTACTTACTTTTAATGTCCTGGACAAGCATCCGGGTAATGTTGTCTTTACACCTGAACCTGAAATAAAGAAGATCACTTCGACTACCCCTATTGAGAAGGTGCTAACTGCTGACGTTATTCAGGACATACCTCTGGGTGATGTCTTTGCGCTTGAACCTGAAATGGAGATCATTTAGACTATTCCTATTGACGGGGTACTTACCGCTAACGTTATCCAGGACATGCCTCCGGGTGATATTGCCTTTGTGTCTGAACCTGAAATAAGGAGATCACTCGGACTACTTTTATTGATGAAGTACTTAACGCTTACTTTTCCAGGATATATCTCCGGATGATGTTGTCTTTGCGCCTAAACCTGAAGCAAAGAAGATTACTCAGACTAATCGTATTGACGAGGTGCTTACCGCTGACGTTATCCAGGACATGCCTCAGGGTGATGTCTTAGCACCTGAACCTGAAACAAAGAAGATTACTCAGATTAATCCTATTGACGAGGTACTTACCGCTGACGTTATTCAAGACATGCCTCCGCGTGATGTTGTCTTTGCGCCCGAACCTGAAATAAAGAGATTACTCAGAATACTTCTATTGACGAAGTACTTACCGCTGATGTTATCCAGGACATGCCAAGATTACTCAGACTACTTCTCCTGACGTTATACATGAACTGCGGGCGCATCATTCCCATGACATTTCTTGCACTGAAATAATTACAGAAAACTTTGACCAATCTACATTATTTCAACAACCTCAGGTATACACTTCTTTGAAAACCGTAGTCTTTGAGCACGAACGTAAGGATATAGAAGATAATAAGGGTTCTTCTTCGCTTATCAATATTTTTTTGTTCCAACAACTGACACCAGTGATTATGATATGAATTCTGAACACCCTAAACCTCTTAATAAATTTCGTAATACTATTTTTAAATCCCGCTTTGATTATCTTTCTGATAATGAAAACTTTTCAGCAGATAGTTCCAATCTTTGGAAAATAAATAAGTCCGAGAATTTAAATAATAGTGAGTATAAAAAAAGTGTACTAGAAACAGCAAAAAGTAATAGATAAGAACCAAAAGGGGTTATTACCATAGAAAACTTAATTAAAGACAAAACCTAAAAAGAAAACAAACGTAAGCTTAGGAAATAACACAAAAATGCTGGTAAGTTTTATGAAACAAGATCAGGAAGTATATCATAGAAGAGAAGTCAATAAAAAGAAAACCATGCTTACCTGGCATATATGCTAGAAAATGTTACGAAGTATCAGAGGATAGAAGAATGAGCATATTTAAATATTTCTGAACTCTAGATGTTCAACGTTGAAAAGACGGGATCGTAAGATGTGCACAACCGATTCCAATGAAAAGAAAAAAAAATATGTAGAAAGCAGTTAACTATATTTTTCATAAGGAATATTAAGATCTATTGTCTTTAGGAATTGTTAAAGGCATTCTTTCTGAAACTGACGAGGAAGACGATATCGACAATTAACTTTCAAAATGTTTACCTATCCAATGTTCCCAGCGGGACACTAATCCATAGGGTGCATCGAATTTTGGAACAAAAATTATTATTTCAATAGTATATTTAGTGGTTATTTTAATTTTATTATTATAAAAGATCATTACGTTTTAAAAAGATATTAATTGTGTAAGTTTTATTAGCAATAATTTTAAAAGACTGAAGTTACATATCATTTATTTATACTTAAGAGTGTCAGTTGTTTGACTATTGAATTCTGGTGGGCAAAATATGTTGTTAGTTCGGTTATTTCATTTTATTATTAAGTTTAAGATTGTATTGATACATATTGTTTGTTTCATTAATCATTGTTTAAAAAATCCTAAAACTAAGATTAAACTAAAATTAGTCTGAAATTGAGTTTTGAGATTATCTGAAGATTTCAACACAGCAACGATTACTTGCGATTTAAATAAAAAAAAAATAACATCACATTTTGTTTAAATTTTGATTTCCTATTAGAATAACATTTTTATCATTTTTTTTTATGAAATAAAAATATATTATAAGAATCCTTTTATTTCACTTAATATTACTACTACTCACTCGGTATTACTTAAGTAGATCCTTAGTTTTTTGTTCCTCAGGCTCTGATTTAATTGACTTGTACTACCCATTGGTGATCAAGATTAGTCCTATGCTACACATCTGACTTTATCATAACCAATTTTTCGAGGCTGTAAAGTACTTCAGTTCAATTTCTATGGGCTGTAAAGGACTTTAATTTTCGTCCTTAATTAATTTTGTTAATTTATGGGGATAGAACACGAAAAAGTAGTTGGGGTCTCTTTAGACATCATGAATATAGTACTTTGTTTGAAAAAGTTACTAGACAAAAACAATTTTTTTTTGGTTCTACTGAAAACTCGTGTTTTGTCCTTTACAACAATTGAAATTTCTGGTATCGATTTGCAACAAACTAATACAGCTTCGTTCCACCAATTCGAGTTGCGTAACTCAAGTTCAATTTGAGTTGCAAGAATTTCAACTCGAGTTAACTCGAATAAAATTTAAAAAAGAAATAGAATGAAATAATATTTTATTTCTTTCGAATATAACGCATACGTGCTGCAAGCGTCATGTGCATGACTGTTTTTCGGGACGATTTCTCATGACGCGGCCTTGAAATTTTACTCTCTCGCATACAAAGAAGTTCCACTTTAAAAAACGTGTGTGCAGTCAGTGGCGAGCCTCCATAGACGCCCAGAAGTCCGGCTTGCCTTATCAAGCTGAATCAATCAATAATATCAAGTAATAAAATAACTCGTAAACTGTTTCAAACTATTTCAAATTTCCCGCGCGCTCTGTTCGACCTCATAGCCTTAGGACTTAGGACTGCTTTCAAACATATAAGGAGAGTTGAATAGAGCGATTGGTTGTCTCTCTCTCACGCATCAGCGTTCCTGCATGGGCTTTTTACCCGGCTTTCGAGAAAACGAACGCTTCCTTTCTAACCTGTGGCAAAATGTTCTATAATGAAATATAACTACGATTGTATAAATAGCAATTAATATGGAGATAACAAGCCCGGCTTTTTAGTGACCATTTATTTTTTCCTCAGAGTGGGACGCCTTTAAAATTATTATAGTTTTAACATTTAAACCAAGTTCAAAACCAGAGCCGGGTCAAGAATCATTTATTGGGTTTTTCTGTCACAAAATTCTCAGTAGCAGTAGTATTACACTTGGGCAATATAATTCAGATGCGCAGCTGGCTATTTTCCGTTGAGAATGGCCGCCGTTACCGAAATTCAATCTGGAGCCCTTTAATATAGTTTTATAAATAAAACACATAGTTGTTTGAATCTTTTAATGATCAAAAGTGAATTCTGAACATCAAATAAATACTAATTGGAAATATCTTATGTTATTTGATAATTTATTGTAGATTAATTAAAAATTGTCACTTCGTAACTTTAAATTCAAAAGTGTAGCTTTTCAGAATAATCACGTAACTAGTCAAGCCATGCTGGCAAACCTGGTGGTACATGCGGTGTCATACTGATGGCACGGATGACAGAGTTTGCATGATTGTCACGCTTTTGTTTGTCAAAGCGGGACATTTTTACGTATTTTGGGGACAGCGCGACACAAACCTTTAAATCGGGAACGTCCCGCCTAAAGTGGGACGTATGGTCACGTTAGGTATGAAGTTAGTCGAGAGCGGAGGCGCGCGGGCGACGCTGACTATATGTTTGCAAGTTCAATTTCAATGTTTACATTGTGTGTTGAGCTTGAGCGAATGTATTATATAAAATATTGCAAGTTTAAAATGTATGCTTTTTTAAAGGTTTTTAGTGAAAATGGAGGGAAATAGTATTCCTTGTGATGAATTGAAGTGTATAAAAGTGCTAATCGGCGAGGAAAAGTAAAATCTTTAAACTTTGTGAGAAAAAAAAGCTTATATCCTCGCCGAAACCAACGCCTGATCTGTGCATTTCTCAGACGAGTAAAACCCATAAACGGCAATTTAATAGATCTGTTTACAAAACTCATTGGATTTTTAGCTGCTCACATACCAATAAGTTGTACTGTTGGTGTTGTATATTCTTTTCCAACGACATTACATTTTAATAACTTATACTTATAAATGTACTTATACTTACATTTAAATAACTTATCTGGAGCCATTAAAACGCATATGAATTCTCAAAAACACATGAATGCGGTAATTTCGTTTAGTAATTTTGGAAAAAATCAGATTGAAACATCTTTGTCGCGCCAGTTATCAGAGGAAATTACAAAACACAACATGCGTGTTGATCACAATTGTAGTGTTTTTCAAAGATTAGTCGATATTGTTAGGCATTTAGCACAACAAGAACTTCCTTTCAGAGGTCACGATGAGTCGAAAACTTCATTAAATAGAGGCAATTTTTTAGAAGTTGAATCGCTTCTTTCGAAGTACGATCTCGTGTTAGAAAAGCATATACAATATCAACAAAGCGGCAAACGGCCGAGTTATTTATCTAGTTCAATACAAAATGACATTACTCATTCTGTCGCTGATATAATGAAAACTCACATCGAGTACGAAGTGAAAATTGTCAAAATTCGTTTCCATTATAATTGACGAAACTCCCGATGTTAGTCACAGAGAGTAATTATGTCTGTTTCTCCGATATTATTATGGAAACAATATTCATGACCATTTTTGGTGTATGTAGATGTGTCTGAAAGTCGCACAGCAGACACACTTTGTAATATATTAGAATTATAAAACTGCACCACAAAACTAGTTGCGCAAACTAGTTGATTATTCACACATATAGGTATTTACATTAGAATTAAATATCTTGTGCTTAAGACGGCATAGAGCAACAAAGGAGGGGAGTAGTCTGAAAAAAAACTGTCTGTAATTTTTTGTGGGTGGAAATCTGCACCACGCACACTATTACAGACTTCCACACAAAACTAATCTTCTATCACTACGAAGCTCTCACATGACAATTAAAATAATACATTTACAATTTCACACATACATGTCATAACAGTTTAATGGACTGACGCAACTACATTCACAAATTGCATACAGCCGTGGCTGTAACAACTGTCGATACGCATTATCGATGAAAAGGGGAATATAATAATAAAGATAGGACTTTGTTTATTACTACTATAAACATCTAAAAAAGACCCACTGGGGCTCTTATTGGTTCTTCCCAGGACAGAAGTTTTTTCCGGACTAGTGGTAACTGGTAAAGTGAAAAATTACTTTCAATATAAAAGTAAAGTAAAGTAAAGTTACAGCCTATATACGTCCCACTGCTGGGCTCAGGCCTCCCCTCATTTCTGAGAGGATTTAGGGCAAGAAAGTGTCCGCCGCGCTGCCCAAATGCGTGTTGACGAACTTCACATGTCTTCGAAATATTTTTTTCTTATTCCTCAGACATGCAGGTTTCCTCACAATGTTTTCCTTCACCGCCGAGCACGTGGTAAATCAGCACTTAAAATTGCAATTAACAATTTCATTGGTGCCGGCGGGGATCGAACCCGGGTTACTCGCGTTATATTTACAGTGAGCGTTAACCACTGAGCTACCACGGCTCAGTGGTTAACGCTCACTGTAAATATAACAGAACTTTCAATATATTGAGCTATTATGTACTACGTACTTGAGGCGACACTGTAT